CCCCCCCCGACCCTCACTCCATCCCCCACCCCTCACTCTGCCCCCCCACCTCAGTCTATCCCCCTGCCCCTCACTCTATCCCCCCGCCCCACCCTGCCAGCCTCACATCACCCTGACGCCTGAGCCGGCTCAGTGCACCCCACAACCTCACCTTAGACCCCCCCATCCCAGTTCACGGCACCCCCTGCCCCATCCCTGGTCCCCACAGCCTCATCCTTCCTGCCCTCCCCAGCTGCCACCCTCCCACCTGTGCTCTCCAACCCGCACTGGACAGACACACCTAAGGGATGTTCCTAGCAGGAAGCTGGGGGTGGGGGGACAGCAAGGAGTTGGGGGTACTTTTTCTTTTACAGAACAGAAATGGTTTGGGAAACTCCAGGTTAAACGAGGTGAACTGGTTGCTTTCAAGGATTTCTCAGATTCTGTAGGGACATTAAATGCACTCTTCAAAGTGGACGGAACATTCTAGAATGTAGCATTGCCCATCTTTAGTGGAACCCAGAACTTTTTTTTTTTAATGTTTATTCTTGAGAGAAAGAGAGAGACAGAGCATGAGCTGGGGAGGAGCAGAGAAAGGGGGGGGGGACACAGAATAGGAAGCAGGCTGCAGGCTCTGTGCTGACAGCTCAGAGCCCGACATGGGGCTCGAACCCACGACCCGCAAGATCCTGACCTGAGCCAAAGTCAGCCGCTTAACCGACTGAGCCACCCAACAGCCCCAGAACCTTTTTATATGCAGAGCAGCCCACCAGACTGGCGTTCTGAGAAACAAACTTGGGGAGACCCTGCTGTTGATATATGGGCATATATGGTTTCCCTCCGTGTCCTTCTTTCCTCTCTGTGCCCAAGGGGCTGGCGCTCCATCCTGACCGCGAGGAAGCAGATCCGAACTGATTGAACGGGGGAGGGGGTTGTCCCCGTCGGATTAGCACGCTCACAGCAGCAGCGCCCAGGGGGCCACCTCCTTCAAGGACCCTCGGATCACCCTCGATAGACGCGCACGGCGGCCTGGCCCCAGGCAGACAAGGGCTGGAGGAGGCCGGGGCAAGGGGGCGTTGGGCTACTGACCTCTGACCCCCCGGGTGCCCCGGGAGGACCCAGGACTGGGGTCCCCACCAAAGAGCTCCAGTGCGGGAATCACGAGGGCAGGGATCCTCGGACAGCGTTGCCCTCGAGGGGAGGCACGGCCTAGGCCGCTGGGGCCGGGAGGAGCCCGGAGCCCCAGCCCCCCGTCTTCCCGCAGGAGGAGCAGGCCACCACGCAGATGTCCAGGTGCCGGAGGGTCCAGCACGAGCTGGAGCAGGCGGAGGAGCGGGCGGACATCGCCGAGTCCCAGGTCAACAAGCTGCGGGCCAAGAGCCGCGATGCGGGGGGCCAGGTGAGAGCCCGCTTCCTCGCGGGGTGGGGGGGCCTGAGAGCGGGACCCAGGGAGCACCAGGGAGGGCGTGGAGGGCTCAGCTGGAGGGTCTCCCCGCCGCTGGCCCTGAACGCATGGATGCCACCCTCCTCCAGGCCCCCGGTGGCTCCAGGCCTGAGGCTGGGGGGGGGGGGCGGGGGGCCACACACCTTGTCAGCCCCATTCCTCCTTGTTGCAAGAGGCGCTGCCTAGGGAGGCCCTGCTTTTCTGGGGGGCTCGTCACCTCCAGGGGCTCCTGGCTTTGCTTTTACGACAGGCAAGGGGGGGAAACGTATTTCTCGTGCCTTTCCGGCTGCTCCACGTGAAGGCAACAGTCTACCTTGCCTTGGGTTTGACCCATTTCCTGATTGTTTTTCTCCCACAGAAGATGGAAGAATGAGGCCTTCCGGATGCCGGTTGCCATGGGACACCTCGGGAGATGGGGGGGAGGGGGGATGTTGTAAGCAATAAAATCTCTCACCGCCTCGTCTCTCGGGTCTGTGTGTTCATTATCATCCGTTCTGCTTGCTCGCATGGTTGGAGAGTCGGCCGAGCATATAGAGAAGTAAGGGATGCGAGGGGCGCCTGGGAGGCTCAGTCCATCAGGCGTCTGGCTCTGGATCTCCGCTCAGGTCATGATCTCGCAGTTCGTGAGTTCGAGCCCCGCGTCGGGCTCTGTGCTGACAACTCGGAGCCTGGAGCCTGCTTTGGATTCTGTGTCTCCCTCTCTCTCTGCCCCTTCTGTTTATGCTTTCTCTCTCTCAAAATTAAACATTTTATTTTAAAAAAAAAGATCTCTTCAGGGGCGCCTGTGTAGCTCAGTCTTTTGAACATCTGACTCTTGATTTTGGTTTAAGTCATGATCCCAGGGTTGTGGGATTGAGCCCCGCATTGGGATCCACAAAAAGCATGGAGCCTGCTTAAGACTCTCTCTCTGTCTCTCTCTCTCTCTCTCTGGGACTTGGAGCGCCTGGGTGGCTCAGTCAGTTAAGCGTCAGACTTCAGCTCAGGTCATGATCCCATGGTTCATGAGTTCGAGCCCTGCATCGGGCTCTGTGCTGACAGCTGGGAGCCTGGAGCCTGCTTTGGAGTCTCTCTCTGCCCCTCCCCTGCGCTTTCTCTCTCTCTCTCTCAAAAATAAACATTAAAAAATTTTTTTAAAAGATTCTTTCTCCTGCCCCTCCCCCACTCGTGAGCATCCACTCTGACTAAATCCTCTCTTCAATCTCCTCAATTTTGCAGACAAGGAAACTGAAGTCATTCTCAGGGTCCCCAGATACCAGCCCCAGTCCAACCCTCCCAGTAAGAGTAACGATAGCATTTCAAATACACAGCAATTTCACATGTCTCCAGTGTTCACACACGCATTGTTTCCCCTTTCCATTCCAGCCACGAATCAAGCCCACCAGGAGATGAGGCTGGTATCGATGCCCTCGTGTTCTAGAGGCGTTGGGGACAGGCTACGGCTTGTCCCATGCTTAGAAGACGAGATGGCAGCTGCTCAGACTCACCGTACAGCACACAGTCTGACAACGGCGGGCTCTGCCTCCATGCAGGCACACGACGTGCCGGTCAGAGCCACCCCAGGGTGCCAACCTGCGCAGATCCCAGACCTACCCCCCCATCCCTGCTAACTAGCGCAGTGATTTGGGACAAGCCACTTCATGACTTTAAGCCTCAGCTACCTTGCATGTAAAATGGGGGTGGAACAATGTACTTTATAGGGTGATTTCAGCAAGCAAATAAGATAATGAAGAAGCACCCTTGATCCCAAGCCTGGCACATAGCTATAGTTAGCACGCTAGGAACCTGTCACACGGTGGGGAGGGGCAAGCCTCAGGACGTGGGTGCAGAGTAAGACTTGGGTCCAGATGGACAATATTCTGGGGTCTGGCTGTGTCTCCCCTAGTTTGGGGACTTAATACTCCATGCAGGTGTTGGAGGGGGAGAGGTCATCAAAAAAAATTCCTATCGAATTCCATTCCCTCTGACATCCCAGTAAAAACAGATCAGAATCCCATCTGCTCCAACATTCCCCAGTTCACTTGGGGCTGCCTAGGATGAAGCCCCCACACACACATGTCTACACTTACCTGGCTCCCCACATCCTGGCTCTCGGCCCCCAGATCTCTGAGTTAGGAAGAACATCCCTCTATCCTTCCCAGTGAATTCCAGTGTCTAACCCTGCACCAGAATCCTGGTCCTTGAATGAAGGGATGAATGAATGAATGAGAATCTTCCATATCCAGACACCAGGTATGTCCTGATGAGAATAAAATATTTTCTTTTCTAAAGAAAATTCTTTTCTAAGCATTGGAAGAAGAAAAAGGAGGCTCCTGTGCTGAGGTGTATTTCCCTGCATCAGGCTCTTTGGTTGAGCCCCTCTGACCCCTCTAATTCTCTGGAAAAGCCAAGAGGGTGGCAGAGAGTTCCTTGCCTTGGGTCCCCTGGGCGGTGAGGTAGAGAGCGTATAGGACCAAAGTGTGCATTCGTGTCTTGGTGTGTCCTCCTTTCTAGAAGTCCTTCAACAGGCTGGGTAACGTCCCTGAGCCTCAACGTAGGGCTGGAAGTGTTGGAAAATTCCTATGTGATATTGTGCAAGAAGTTTCCTCACCTGTACAGTACAGCCTGGAGGTAAGGAGACTTTGCTGCTGTTTTCTTCGCTGACAATAGTGGCAATGATAATGACATTGTTGCCATTATCATTCATTACTATTGTTCAGTCGTGAAGCCCAGCCACCAAACCCTAGTGGAGAACAGAACCTACCCCTTGCCTACAGGGCTTTGCTGCCACCTCCTGGCTGTAGGACACACTTTGCATCGTGCGAATGACCTTGACACTCCACTCCTAGACATTAGACATTCAGAGAGTCGGAGGTATCCTTTGGAACCAGGATCATCTGGTCTGGGCCCCTCGGTTTGGCCGATGAGGAAATTCAGATTAGTGAGAGGGTCTTCTAATCCCTGAGGATGACAGTACCGGTTAGAACCAGACACCCAGGTCCCCCGTCTCCCCCGGGGAAGGGCCCCCTCCTCTGAGTGTCCATAGAAGAGTTCCCTGTAGAACTTCAAGGTGGTGGGCTAGGACGTCCCTGGCAACGGAGGCTGAGACCACCGTCAGGGGTCTGACCCCCAGACCCTTTCTCCTCATCCCAGGAAGCTTCGCCAGGTTGGATGAGGAGGGCTGGCTCCAGGGTACAGGGCAATACACCTTCAGAAACAGCCCTCTGCCCCTAGCAGCGGAAGTGACCAGATCCTGAATGCCTTCGGGATAAAAGTGGCCCAGGGTGGTTCCAAAAGTCATGTTCCTTGGCCCTTTTCCTAACCCCAAGACAGAGGGTCAGGGTGTCCACGACTCGGCGACATACCGCAGGTCAAGACCTGTGCCATCTGACCTTCAGACCTCTCCACCTTTCTGCGGTCTCCTGAAGAGGTCGAGAACGGCCAGCTTCCTTACCCTTCGGCTTGTGAGTGGGTCCAGCCAACGCGGGGTTGAGACCAAAAAGCAGAAGGAAGGAGGAGTGTGAAGTCCAGAGTGTTTGATCCCTGGGTCCCTCCCTGCAGACTTGCACGGGAAGGTCCCATTTCCTAGCAGACGTGCTACTCTTCCCCAGCCCCCTCCGTCCCGGTCTCTGTAACTGGTCCTCAAGCCCCCAACACCTGCACATGAACGCCTCCCAGGGCCGTGGAGCCCCAGGTATCACGCCCAGAGCCCGGCCTGCTTCCGGGTACATAACCACACCTTTGCGAAGCGCATCTCCCCAAAACCTCTCATCACGCTAACGTGGGCGTGCCATCTACTTCCTGCTGGACCGCTGCCCAATCCAAGACCCCCGCCCTGCACACCTATTTCATGGCTCCCCAGCCCTCCTGTGGAGCAGGAAAGAGCTGCCGACCAGGAAGAGGCAGAAAAAAACCAAAGCATTTATTTGATTCTTAGGGATTGAAATCCGGGAGGCACAGCAGCTTAGCAGAATCAACAGGCTCATAGAGGCAAAAACCTCAAGGTCACGGGAGTTGTTTTCACAGAATGATGATCGGCATTGACACAGTTAAACTATTTACTGCCGGACTGGCTAGTCAGCTGGCAGATGCAACATTGTGTCTCTATCAGTGCAAAGCAGAAGGCTGCGTTCCAGGAGGTGGTGGTGCAATTCACAAAAGTCCAAGGTGTTCCAAAAATCGCAACAGGAGGTGTTGCGTGGGCCCCCTTCCTCAGTGTCCTCCCTGCCCTATCCGGAATGACTCTGGGGGGGGGGTCTGACGGCGGGGGGGGGGGGGCTTCCTGCACTTGGGAAGCTCCTTTTTCAGAGTGTTACTGGGCTGCCCCGGCTGACATCTCTGGATCATAAATTCCATCCATATAGTTAATCACACATTCACTTCCACTGCATACTTCAACCTGGCACAGACCTCCACCAAAATCAAGCTTTCGGGATTGCTTCCAGGGCCCCCTCAACACCTTTTTATAAAAATTTAAACCAGAACATAGGGTACCGGGGTGTCTGTCGGTTGAGCATCTGACTTCCACTCAGGTTATGATCGCTCCGTTGAGGAGTGTGATCCCTGCATCTGTGCTGATGGCTTAGATCTCGGACCCTGCTTCAGAGTCTGTGTCTCCCTCTCTTTCTCTGACCCTCCCCCGCTCCCCTTGTTTCTCTCTCTCTCAGAAATAAACATTAAAAAATTTAAAAACTTTAAAAATTAAATAATAGAAGCTTGAAGGGGGATAAAGTACATGAAAAGCAAAGGTAACCTAAAAATCAGAACATAACTTCCTAATTATTTACTACATTTTGTAACTGCTTATGATCTTCTTAAATATGTATTATTGATTTTTATTTGGGGAGAGAGAGTGGAAGCAGGAGAGAGGCAGAGAGAGGGGGGGAGAAGGAGAGATTCTCAAGCAGCCTCCACACGGTCAACGCAGAGCCTGACACGGGGCTCTTGAAGTCACAAACGGCGGGATCACGACGTGAGCTGACATCAAGAGTCAGCCGCTTAACGGCCTGAGCCACCCCGGTGCCCCTACTTCTAAAGACCTTACGGTTATTCACAACCATTAAAACGCTGTGGTGGGAATACTATTTAAGGGGGTGCTACTTGCGTTTATTCTTATGCCCGCATTGACCGAGGTCAAGTTGACAGCTTGGCCTTGGCCACAGTGGAGATATTTACACCACAGAAACGGAACAGAGCTTTTTTTTTTTTTTAATTTGTTTGCTTGCTGAACATTGACCAGCACTCAGTGGGGCCAATGAAACCCAGGTAAGAAGCGAACTGCAATTCTCAGATCGCAGGTATCTGCAATGCACATGCAGATATTGGGGTTGTTAGGGCCAGACCCACCTCTCCGCCGGCTTCCCACCCACCTAGTGAGACCAAGTCAACCTGCGCAAGGCAGCAAATTGAGGGGACTTCTCGGGGACAAGGATT